AAGGTGCTTACAATTATAAATGCAAACCTTCATTTGATTCCTCGTACGTGGATCACAAATATCTCACTTGTGAGAGAGGAGGTAGGTCTTTTTTTTAACCTTTGCACTACTCCTTAATTCTTTTGGGTCCTTTAGTGGCTTCTTCAATTTTTGCTTTCATCCATTATCTTCTTTCATATATTCGTTTTACCTACATTTTCTCGTTATATACATTCTGAAAGTTTTCAAAACTTTCATTTCTAAAGGTTTTTAAGAAACTCACGCTTTTCCATTTGGAACATCTTCTCCAATGAAGCATCTTTTAGGGGTCCTGCTTCAAACTCTCCATCTCACGAAATTCGTTTAAGAGTCCCAAGAAAAACTGGCTGTGCTCTTTTAAGGAGAATTCGGAAAACCCGGCCAAGAAAACTCGTCCGTGCTATAATATTACTGATTTTTATAACAACGAAGGTATGCATATCAACGCTTCGGCAATGTTCATGCTAAATAACGACGTTCTTAGGATTTTGCGGTCTAAAATGGGATAAGGCGAACAAGTCTACAGAATTTGTTGTTCCTTCCATACAAAGTTCGCTAGAAGAGCATCTCAGTTTTGTACTGCAGAAGGCCAATATATTATGCCTTAAGTTGGTAGGGTTGATTTTTTCATGTGGAATCGGGATATATTGTAAATGAATACAAATTGTTTGATACAGGTTGATCTTGACGCTAATGATATGGAGGTTGTTACAAATGTATTGCATAATTCTAAGGCTAAAGTTAGCCATTTGCAACTAGTCATTAATAGGATTATAACTTCTGAAGTTGTATCCGTTATAGATGCTACGGGTGAGCTCATTTTAGCTCTGTCTTTGTTTTTTCTAATTCAAAACCCACTTTCAGGTGCCGAAACAGTAGATATAGTAATATCAGACAGAAGTTTCTTTCGCAATCTGCCTTTTGAAAGTAGCGTTTTTCGGAAGGTGAGTTTTAATTAGTACATCTTCACTCGAACGTCCTTTTTTTGCAAATTTTGTTGTTCACTGGTCATTCTACTTAATGGAAAGTTCTGAAGTTTAGGCTTGGTCCATTACGATAAGGACCTATCAAGAAAAAGTCTCAGATGTATTTGATATCTGCGATGACGATCTCTTATCATTGAGTGCTGATTCAATAGAATTTTTCGGATTGACTAGAATTACAGCAAGCGGAGCTAGAAAACTTGTTCAGGTAACTCTAGCCTAATAGAATGTTTTATTTCTACTTATTTGTATTCACTCCATTCTTCCTAATAATAGTTTATAGACTTTGTCTACATTGTGCTTTGCACATACCCTTATGTTAGGTCTTGTTTTTTTTTCCTTTCTTCTTTATTTTACTTTGACGCCTTCTATAGCATGGACGGACCTT